GAGGCCGATACCGATACTGGATCGGATCGGCCCCATCCCTACACACTAGGGCTAAGCCCCTGCATTTGCAACTGGGTACTAGACTTCTTAACAAACAGACCACAGTTAGTGAGGATCCACAACCTCTCCTCCTCCACCATAACCCTCAGCACTGGCTCTCCTCAGGGATGTGTGTTGATCCCCCTCCTGTTTACTCTGCTCACGTATGATTGTGCAGCTACCCATCCAGGCTGTCACATTGTAAAGTTTGCAGATGATACAGCGGTGGTGGGATGCATCACAAACAATGATGAGTCCAGCTACAGGCAAGAGGTGGAACACCTGGAGAGCTGGTGCAAAGAGAATAACCTTCACATCAATGTGAAGAAGACAAAGGAGATGATTGTGGATTTCAGAAGGAACAAAAACATCTACACCCCCCTGAACATTAGGGGATTTGCAGTGGAAGTGGTCTCCAGCCACAAGTACTTGGGTGTACACATGAATGACAACCTCAGCTGGAGCAACAACACCACCAGCCTGATCAAGAAAGCTCATCAGAGACTCTACTTCCTCAGACGGCTGAGACGAGCTGGTCTGGGAAACTCAGTCCTCACCTCCTTCTACAGGTGTGCAGTGGAGAGCATCCTGTGCTCCAGCATCAACGTGTGGCATGGAGGCTGCACAGCTGCAGAAAGAAAAGCTTTGCAGAGAGTGGTGAAGGCTGCACAGAAATCTGTTGAAGTCAGTCTCCCCACCATCACAGTCATCTACACCTCCAGATGCAGGAAGAGGGCCACCTGCATCATGAAGGACCCCACTCACCCAGCACACACACTTTTTGCCCTGCTCCCCCCAGGAAGGAGGTTGGGGAGCATTAAGTGTAGAACCACTAGACTGAGGAACAGCTTCTACCCTGAGGCTGTTAGACTCATGAATCTCTAACTAGAATAATCACTGTGAAAAACCATATCATGTTGCTGCTGATCTGTTTCAATGTTGCTGCTGATCTGTTTCAATGTTGCTGCTGATCTGTTTCAATGTTGCTGCTGATCTGTTTCAATGTTGATGTGTTCATGCGTGCTCATCTGCTTTCACGGACTCATGTTCATGTTTGTGCTGATGTTCAATGTTTTTATGCTATTAGTGCTTAGTGTATTTTTAGTTGATGTTTTTCTTAGTTCATATCTTAGATGTTATCATTGTTTTTCTTTTACATTTTATTGTTGGATGTAACTGGGACCCTGTGTACATAATTTCACTCCACCACATGTACCACATGAGGTGCGAATGACAATAAAGAATCTCTGACTCTGACTCTGAAAAACAGGGAATTGGGAATGTCTCTCTGTGTTTTGAGGGTGATAACTTGAAAAAAGAAAGTGAGGTAGTGCTAACTTCCATTTTGGTGTGTGGTTGCTTCTAGGCATAAGAAAAGATTATTTGAAAATTTGGGTTGTCACGACAAAATCTAACATGGCCACTACTATGACTATGTGTAATAGTCATATGTATATGTGAAAATCTATAATATTTAAACCGGCAAACATTTGAGGAAACTGTGCTTTCTCATTTTCATGTTGCTTAAAAGTACAGTTTTATCAAATGATTGGGGTTGCTCTTGGGGTGGCCAAAGATTATTCTAAGGGGGTCAAGGCCACCACTGGCCACCCCCTGGCTCCACCATTGCTCCTGGTGATGGATAAAAATGCTCCCTTCGCTCACCAGGATACGCATCACTCTGCACCGCCCCAAACCAAAAAAAAATAAAGCCCTTGCTCTGTTCTTATCCACAGTGTAACTCTTACCCTCTTGAATATCTTGTCCCAAAACATGAATGTTTACTTGCATTCCCTGTTCAGTTAGTTCAGAAAAACACTCATCTCAATAGTTCACTACCCTTCAGCAACGGGGTACATCGATGTACCGCTTGTTCAACTTGCTATTATTCGAAAGAAAACATTCATCCCGAGGGGACAGTTAATTAAAATTGTCTCGATCTTAAACCCAAACTGAGAGATTTACAGATTATTTTTGGCAGATTGAATTTATGACTATAAGCCTTTGAGAAATAATGCAGAGCATGGAAAAATATTGAAAGCTGAAATCCATCTTATTTGACATCTTTAGATTAATAATGTTTTTTTGCTCAATGAGCAGCTGATCCGAACAATCGAGATGCTGGTTATAACTATTAAACAAGAAACTGCCCTGTCTGTTCTGATTCAGTCTTTGTTTCAGGCAAACAAAAAGGGAGCAGGTAATCCTGAGGAAGAGTATCTGTAAGACCTACAAACATGGAGAGCAATGGAGGAGAACCTAAGCCTGAGATGATCCTGGGATTTTCTGGATTTATGGAAGTGTGTTTTAGCTTAAGATAATAATCATCAAGTCTGATTTCCTTTTGCACCTCCAGCAAACATTTTGTGTTTCTTCTGAAGAGACTGCAGCTTCACCACAAGTCTGAGATTTCAGTCCAGTGGTTTGTGGCCTCCAGTAAATCCTTCCTGTTGAAGCAGCTCTGCGGCTCTCCAGGGTGAGAGCATCTTAACGGAGTGAGTGATTATTCGATGTGCAGATATTCAGGTTCTCATCTGTGATTTATATAAACAGCCATCCAGAGCCAAATAATTCCCCAGTCAGAGGCTCAGCTGCCTCAGAGGCACATCATGGATGGACGATGCTCTGCTCACATCTAGTGGCCCCAGAAGGTAACGTCAGAGCCTGAACCACTCACAGACTCAGATATGATGCTGGCCTACAGTCACAGTTATCTGACGTGCAAACCCACAGTGACATACAGTGCACGAAATATTTAAAATATATACAGAAATGTTCTTATTAAAACCAGAAACTCTGCGCTTCGATAACTCTTTATAAAGGACATTGAAAAAAAATCCAGAGTTGACCAATAAACACTAAAACAATAACCACAAACAATCTGAAACTGTTTCAATATTTGTATAAATGTACAAAATAAAAACATATAGCAAAGACAGATGACTTCAAATGCCACGACTGTCAAGAAAAATGTGTCTTAAGGTGCTACAGGGCCATGCTTGATTGGGATTGGTAGGCTGGTCCACAGGACACCACAGAAAGGTCCGATCGCCCACACCAGCTGATCCAGAACCAAAAACCAGTTCAGGATGGGTCAACAGAGACTGGGTGGTGCTAAAACAGAGTTCCAGTGATTCAACCAGGAGGTGGATGATGCTGTTGTGTTCCGTCCATCCAATATCTTTTATTTACTTCTTCCTTTTCGGGTCACTGTGGTCACTGGTGCCCATATGCAACCATCACTGTCCGAGAGACGGGGACACCCTGGACAGGTCTCCAGTCCATCACAGGGACACATAGAGACAAATGAGACAAACAACCATTCACTCTCTCACTCACACCTATTCAGTTTAGAGTTACCAATCAGCCTAACACGCATGTTTTTGGTCTGTGGGAGGAAACAGGAGTAACTGGAGAAAACCCACACATGCACAGAGGGAACATGCAAACTCCACCCAGAAAGGTCTCAGGCTGGGATTTGAACCGTTGACCTTCTCGCGGAGGGGCAACAGCTCTACCAACTGAGCCACTGATGCTGTTGTGTTTTTTAAAGGATTACAGATGAAAACAGATGTTTACGTGCAATGAATAAAACTATGCTTCTTTCAGCTGCTCTCTTCTTCAGGGGTCACCACAGGAAACTATCTCGCATGAAGACTTGGAATCGTTTGGTTTTTTATGCCGGATGTTCTTCCTGACACAACCACAGACCACCGAGCGACCACAGCCCTCTGTGTGGAGCAGAGAGCTGCCATCTAGGACACCCGGGGGAGCAGATGGTGGGGGTTAAGGGCCTTGTTCAAGGACCCAGCATGGGACAAATGAGGGTGGAGGCAGTTGTGGGTGTTTCAGCTTTACCACCCACATGTTGATCATGTCGGTCCAGGGAGTCGAACAGGCGACTTTTCCGATCACAGACCAGCCTTCTCAAACCTCTGCACCACCACTCCATTATATGCCCCTTTTCTCTGCAGATGTCAGTGAGATGAAATATGTTTATAAATGTAGTGAAGTTAGGCTTTGTTTTATTATGTAACCCAGGTGGACGTTGATTAATTTGTTCATTTATAATGTTAATACATTCTTAATTAACAAACATGAGATGTTCTCTGTAGAGAAAATATGTCATATATATATTTTTGTTTTGAATTACAGTGATAAGCATTAGTTATTATAAGAGTTAAGTCATTCTATTTGATGTTTTGACAGATGAAGTGGTCAGCTGGATCTCACGGTTAATAAAACATGGAGTGCAGCCACAGCAGCTGGATGCTGTGGACCAGGAGGAGGCCGTGCTGAACTGATTCCACGAGTTACTCTCATCTGAGGCAGAATGGGTTCCTTGAAAATAAAGATTTGATTTAAACTGTTTTGCACAATGGATCAAAGCTTTATGTTTAGTATGAAGCAAAGAAAAAAATTAATTCAAATAAAATAAATAAGCAAAAGGAAAAAAAGTTTTTAGTTCATCGTTCAACATAGAATATCTGGTAGAGGTACAAGGTACAATAAACATAAAGAAACAGGAACATGGGTTTAAGACTAAAAAAGACAAGAGCATAACAGTAAGGCAAATAAAAGGCAGTGGAGCACGTTTTAAAACAAAAGAAAAGTAGATATACTGTAGTTTTTATTTTATTTATTTTATATATAGATTTCAAACATTTCAGAGGAGTAATAAAGTTTAAATTGGTTAAGAAATAAATCAAAACAAGGGGTAGAGTGTTTCCACATATGATGTTTAGCGGCAGGAAAATATTTACCACATCAGATATTTGCTTATCAAGATCATCAACACTAGTACATGAGTGATGTTCTTCCGGGATGTCCTCAAAGGAAGAAAAAAAAAAAACTGGTGACACCGGGGACGTTTTGTCACGTTACGTTACGTTACGTCACTTTACGTCACGTCACGTACGGCGGCAGCCCGTCCGAGCGTGACGTCACGGCAGCGTAATCCTGCGCTACAAAGAAGAAGACTGCGACAATGGCTGATATTTCTCTGTGTCTCACCAACGCCAGCATGTCCGCAGGTCGGACAGTGGATGGGGGGCAGGTGAGTGAACCTCTCCGTGTTTCCAGCGTCCTGTTAGCTTGCTGTCCCTCCGACAACGGGGCACCATCGTGTGGGTGAGCTCGAGATAAGTCCCCCCTCCTGAACGGGACAAACCGTCTAACGCCTTGATTCCTCCCTCAGAGTCAGAGCCCACGCCCGGGGAAGGACTTTGAGAGCGTGGAGCTGGGGCCGCTGGAGAAGAGGGACGAGGCTCCGCAGAGGGAGAAGGCTCCCCGCCGGATCATCCACTTCTCCAGCGGGGAGACCATGGAGGAGTACAGCACCGACGAGGAGGAGGGAGAGGAGCGGGAGGCGGAGAGGAAGGACCTGCTGTCACCGCCCGTGGATGCGGTGAGGGTGAGGATGGGTGGAGGGAGGGAGGGAGGGGGGCTTCACCTGACAGACTGCGTGACTGCATGGAGGTGACTGGGGGGTATGTTCTCTGTGTTGTAGTCCAAGATGACCTGGGGGCCGTATTTCTGGTTCCACATGTGGAGAGCTGCCACTTCCACCATCTCAGGTTTGGAAGGATGAAGAGAGTTTATTTCATGTTCACTGTATTCCATCATCATTTTTATGTCTTATACAACATTGCGAGATGTCATGCTCTGACTGTGAGTTGTTCATGACTCTCTGCTACTACCACACCAAATTAGAGCTCAGCATCTGCAACAATGACTGATTTATAACAGTTTGTTGTGTTTTCTGAGGTCAGTTGGCTAAGAGTCACACAGTCACAAACACAGGCAGAAACATTATTGTGACAGGCGATATTAAAACCTGCTGCTGCCCTTGGGTCAAAATGACCTAAGGCTGAAGGCTTGTGGGTCATCCTTGTGGATATATGCCTACACTAGATATTAGGGGTGATACATATGTTTACATCGATATATCGATTAAATGATTCAATTATATTGTGGCAAAACTAAAACGTGGATTCATTTTGTCATTTTTAAAAATACGCTTTTATTTTGAAATTCCCAAGGCATGTCTGTGTCTCCATTTCCGTGCGGGGCTGCGCTCCGCGGCCGCCTCAGCAACATGGCAGACGAGGCAGAAAACACAATGAAAATTATCCACTAAAATTCCACTCTAGGTTTTCCTGCTTACCTACCACAACTCACCAGACCGCATGCCGTGTTTCTCCTAGATCAGTTGATGGGGTGGGGGAGGAGGGGGAGACACCTCTGTGTTGTGTGCTAGCTTAGCACCACATTAGTGCCGGCAGCAGCCGACAAGAGGTGGGGCGGTTAGGATGCGTGAGAGAAGCGGAACGCTACATCTGTAGTATCTTAGCTATCACGTCTGTATTGCGCACCACTTGCTTAATGCTACGTTAGTGCTGGGAGTTGTCAACCGGGGTGGGGGTTAGGATGCGTGAGAGAAGCTGTATTCACACAAGGAGAGCTGTTGGTCAGGCATCGGCAGCAGTTTCGGCCATGACAAAACTGCCAGGTCTGTGTGAAGGTTTGGTTCGTGCTACAAGTACTCAAAATCAGCTGATTTACAAGCTAAACCATAAGATAGAAGCGATTTGTGAGAATCGCAGGCCACCTGCGGCTTCTAGGACTCGCCAGCTTGTCGGAGTCGACCTTGAATGAGGCTCATAGCACAGATCAGTGGAATGCCCACAAATGTGTCCATTTTGGATCTTGAAAGTACCAGCAGGACTCAAGGCTGACAAGAAAAAAAACAGTCTGCTTGAGGAAATCAACAATTGTAGCTTATCTGAATCTGACTCCCCCGTTTGGCCTCGAAAGCAGGCCAACTATCAAATTTCTCCTGGGACATGGGTAAACTAAGGAAAAAGCTTCCCCCACCCCACCCAAGAACTTCTGTGCAGGCTTATCAGAACCGCTGGCTGACCAACATCTTATCAGGGTTATGGTATCTGGAAGTGCTTCATGGACAAATCGCACTGTCTTGACGTCATATATGTAATGTGTTTAAAAATGTGCTTGCTGGTAGAGTTTTTGATGTGTTAAATCGTGTCCTGACAGGACGAGATGTGAAGAGATCTTTTTGTAATACCTCTATCCATCCTCATGGCCTTTTACTTTTTTCTATCTAAAAAAGTATTCTAATAAAGAATAAGAGGCCGCGCTCCTGTAGCAGCAACAACATGCACTCCGCCCATTTTTCAGACGACTGTATGAACATAATCTCACTGTATCTCGGTACAATGATAATAAAGATTATTCTGATTCTGATACTTCTTGTGCCGTGAATCAAGTCTTTACGTATGTAAGTGAACATAGATGTTTAACAACCCGTTAAAATACACCAGAATGCAGGAAATGGCATCTACCGGTACTTTATTCCAAATTTTCTGGGGGAGGATCCCCAAGACTCTGCACCCCCTCATCAGTGTACCCCCCCCACACACACACACACATTACAAATGCTTCGGACAACAATGATTAGACCTGTTGCAATAAATCAATTAATCTCATGATATATAAAAATCATAAACCTCATTTTCATTTATCGGCTTTATCGTTTCTTCATGTCTCTCTTTCTGCAGGACACTGGATGATAAAAAGCTCAACTCCGGTGCTCTTCACTGACCCCTCCCTTTCGCTTTTCTCTTTTAAATCTATTTTAACCGTCCAAAATCGCGTTTTTGGATCATTAAAAGCAGCTAAGCTGAGAAGCTAAGCCATGAGCTAAGCTAACAGGCTGACCTCAGGAAAAAAACCTCCGTCTTGTCGAATCTCCAAAATTCACGGTTGAAACCTGTGCCTTCGTGTAAAAAGTTGTTTTTCTCTGCATAAAGAAGTTGAGAACTTGTTTACTGATATTTTTTTTAAAGCTTTGTGTGACAAATGCTATGCTAAAGAACTCAAACCACACAGAGCGTCGGCCTTTTGAGAACCGAAAAAAAGGGAAGAGAGACAGCCCGTGTCACCTCAAGAGGCCCCCCTCCCATTTTTCTTAAAGAGACACACTGCTCGCTCCCTCACTATCCATCCTTCGGTTTATACAGTCTTATACTGCCATCCGATGGTCAAAAAAAATACTACACACAAAACAAATTAAACGTTTCTTTTTAAATTTGACAATAATTACTATTTATTATCGAATTTCAAACACTATTATCATTTATCGCAATAATTTCTGAGACAATTAATCGTCCGGCAAAATTTGTTATCGTGACAGGCCTACCGATGATTAGGCTAAGGTTTGGTGTGGTGGTAACGTAGAGTCATCAACTCATACATGGAGCATTAATGAATCAAGCTTTTTTTTTTTTTACTCAAAGCTGCATTATGTGTTCCTTCAAGGAATATAGTTTCATTTGAACAAGCCTGAACCAGTCAGGATGTTTTTGAGTGGAATTAATTGAAAATGTTTGATGTAAAAGTGTATTTGATTGTTTTCCTGTTCCAGCATGTGATTATCTTGGGGAAAGGATGGCCTCTCTCTTTGGGATAACATCCGCCAAGTACCAATATGCCATTGATGAATACTACAGGATCAAGAAAGAGGTATGACTGAGGACGTTTGATGAGTTTTGTCCACATGCTCCAGCCAGCTTAATTTCCTCTCTTCTTCTTGTTTTAGAAAGAGGAGGAGAGGGAGGAAAACCGTCTATCAGAAGAAGCAGATCGTTCTTTTGACCAGCTTCGATCTCAGGAACAGAGGTCCGAACGCGTCGCAGCGAGAGACGGACAGGAGGCGGAAGCGGCTCACCCTGACGTCACCTATCAGGTGGAGAACGAGAGTCGGGCAAACCCAAACACGTTTACCGTCCCCGTTATTGTGACGGCAACCTAACGCTCTCTGGGAAAGTTCATCTAAATGTCTGTCTGTGTGAATGAAGGAACACTGTCTTATTTGGCCAAACCCTTTGGTTCGTGTGTAACAGCTTTCGACGGGCAGCGCTGCTGGATTTTGGCTAAATGGCGAGGACGCTGGGGGTTAACTGTGGAAACTGGAAATCTAACTGCAGGGTAACGTGACGTGTTCAACCTTAGAATAAATATAAATGAGCAGGCACATGTTGAAAAGTTGAGGACATCTAAAGGTTAATTGACCCTTTTCAGTCTTCCTGACATTTGTTGATCATGATTTTACGTTAATCAGCCTCGTCGGTTTGTACAGCGTCGTCCTCCAAACTTTGCTATGCAGCAGGGGATGAATGTCGCTCCCCTGTGCCTCCGATGGACCAGCCACTGTGCCTCAATCGCCAACACAACCAAATCAGTGCCAGATGTAGATCTATGTACAAAAAAACAGCTGTTCTGTCTAAATCCGGTCCCGCCGGTGCGCCCTTTGTCGACTGCACCAAACAGCTGGCCATTTTAACACGCCCTCACGTGTATATTTGACATGCATGTTGTATGTTCAAGTGTGTACTGATGCATATTAGACTCGCGTGGCACTTAACGTCTGTGGAAGCAGCTGTCAGAACTCTTCCTGATCACAAAACGGACTAACTTTAAGCGTTAAAAAATTAAGAAAACGGGTTTCGGTGTTCTGTGTGGCTCTTTTGACCTGCCTTACTTACCGTGAACGTCAACGTGAATGTGTTGTGTAACCCTCTGATACTGAGGGAATAATTGTGACACTTATGAGAAACTTACAGTTCTTACAGTTTTTAAGCACAATTTTTGATATTTAGGTATTTATTTTAATGAACTTACGTTGTCTATTTAAGCATTTTATATTGTTTTAGTAATATTTAAATAAACAGTTAAATTAAAATCTGATTTTATTGTTTTATTTATTGCCTCTGTGTTCTTTATTTATCGAGAGATGATTGAAGGGCTGAACGGGTCCAAAATGAAAATCCAGCTTTTACTTTCCAGTGTCAGTTGTCAGCTGTGCTGGCTCGTTGAGAGACCCGGAGTCGGCTGCAGCGTGATGAGGCAAGGGAACAAAGAGCCCGTGTCCTGGTCTGAGCAGACCCCCCTGAGGTCAGGGTGTCCGCTCACGGCACAATGCTTCCTTTCAGAGGCCGGCGTGGCTTTCTGTGGTCCAAAGTGACCTCAGCAGACAAGATGACCTCAGTGCTGCAGGCACGCACATGTGCCTCAGCTGGGTTCAGAAATGAAAGTGATGAAATAATAAATGTGCGTTTTTAAAGCTGAAGTTTTAAATCAAATTTCTCAGACGATGCCGTGGTCCTTGGTTACCATCAAGAAACTCGAGCTGTGTTGTGATGCAGGATCTACATTCATCCAGAAGACCTGAGCTCTTATCCTCTTGATTCCAATATGTCTTCATAAAAAAAGCATTCTGTTGACACACACAGCCCATGATGCCTCATGAGCTCTTCTGCCATGTTTTAAAAGTTGCATTAAACTTTAAATATAGTGCATCCTATAAACCTACAAAAAGTAGTAGACTTATCAGAACGCCAGACCACCTTCTGTTATTTTAAAAACGTTTAATTACTTTTCATGATTACTAGCAGTTTTCGGCTCTAAAATATATTTTATTAAATTACTTTTCACTGAGTATCTTGATCATATTTATATTCAAATACATTCTTTAGAGCAATGTGATCATATTTTGTCAGATGAGAGGGTTAGATCTGTAGCTTAATGTTAAGATGGGACATTAAATTAAAGAAATATCTATATTACGGCAAACTCAAACAATATGAATTATTTTGGGTTACATAGAAGTGTTACTTTAAAAACTTCATTAATAAAGTTATAAACCCTCTACAGCCTAAAAATATATTGGCACTCCCATCTGATATACATTTGATGAATTAAGGCAGAATTAAAAGTTACCTAAAATTACTTTTAAATTATTTAAATATCTAAAGAAAACATAAACTAATAACCAAAATAGATTTCTTTTAAATTAGTATTTATGCCCCAATTCATTGTAAAACTAGGCTTAAAAGCTAACTTGTCTGGATTTGTTTAAGTAAGTAAAGCAGTTTATACTTTACACACAACTCTAGAAAGAAAATTGACGTTTTTTTAAGCTTGCATGGATTATTTTTATAAAATCCAAATACGAATACTGTATAATTAATTTTTAAGGAGAACCATGGTGGTTCTTGTTTAAATTGCTGTGGTTTTCGTTTTTAAGCTGCTAGCATAGAGTCAGGGTTTCTCCTGGTACCATCATTCACAAACAGTGATACCAAACTGTTGTAATCGCATTCACAATGACCTTAAAGTAATAAAAGGTTTATAAAGGTTATTAATATTGAAAAATAATGTTGAATGTATCAGGAAGCATTATGTTTCCATCTTCCGGTAAGATGGCGCCCGTGTACATGGCTTGCAATCCACCATTGTCAGTTGATGGTGTTAGGATCATTTTTGTTTTGTTCGTTTTTTATCTGTGATATAAACTCACTGCTGGTGTATGACTGCAACAGCTTCTGGATCTTCGTTTTTCTGCCGCAGATGCCGCTTATTTGGATCAATATGAGCGTACCGCTGGACACCCCCCCCCCCCCCCCCCCCCCCCCCCCCCCGTTGGCAGACGTGCCAGTTTACCTTCGCTGCGCTCCTCACCTGCCTGCCCGTAGACATCGCTTCAGACACCGGGGGAAACGTGCTGGGCGGCTGGTAAAGCTTAAAGCGCTGTGTGCTGCATCTTCCTCTTCAGCTGGCGGTCATGGTTTCCATCGCCAGCTTCCCGCGTGCCCGAACCAGGTAAACAACGGGAGTTGTCAGCCGGTGCGCAGCTCGGACCGACCCGGAGGGGCTGTTATTGAAAATCTGAGGCCACTGATGCGCGCTAACTTCACCGCTGCTAGCTCCACTTTGGACAGTATCCGGATGTGTTTGGTCAACGCAAGATCTGTGACCAACAAAACTTTTATCCTCAGGGACTACTTTCAAGAGCACGATTTGGACTTTTTCTGCATCACTGAGACTTGGATGTCTCCGGGTGAGTCCAGCACCTTGACGGAATTACTGCCACCGAACTGTTTGTATTTTAACGCCCCGCGGCCATCAGGCCGGTGCGGTGGTGGATTATTAACAATATTCAAATCAACTTTTGACTGTAAACAACTGCCCATCCCAGTTTCCCGCGCCAGCTTTGAGCTGAGCATCTTTGAACTCGGCCACTCGCCTCCGACGTTATTTGCACTCGTCTACCGCCCACCTCGGTCTAAGGATTTCATAAATGAGTTTTCTGACTTCTTGGCTGAAATCACACCAAAATATGATCATGTTTTCATTATTGGGGACCTTAATTTGCATGTGTGCTGTCAGGAGAAGCCCTTGGTTAAGGACTTTTTAGATTTATTGGACTCATTTAATCTAACTCGGCATGTAAACGGTCCCACGCAAGAGCGCGGACATACACTGGACCTTGTTTTAACTCGTAATATGACTGTTAATAATCTTGTTATTGGTGATAAGGTTTTTTTCAGACCACATGCCAGTCCGGTTTGAGTTCACCCTCCCCCATCTAACTCCTAAGCCGTGCATTCCTGCACGTAGTAGCTGGGCCATTAACCACTTCACTGCCGCACGTTTCACTGATGTTTATAACTCTGAAATGATCATTCAGCCCCCGGTGTTTCTCACTACTACTGAGGAGCTGACATCCCAGTTCAACTCTGTCTGCTTAAAGACTCTGGATCATGTTGCTCCTGTTAAAACCAAAAAATCAAAACTCAGAGCAGAACCTTGGCTGAGTGACGTCACCAAGGCCGCTAGGCAGCAGTGCAGGAGGGCGGAGCGAAAGTGGAGGAAAGACAGGCTGTAGGTCTCTTTTCAAATACTTAAAGAGAGTTGGCGCTGTTATCAGAAAACAGTAAAAGCTGCAAAATCAAAATTCTTCTCTGATATAATTACCTCAAACTCTCACAACCCACGTGTCCTCTTCTCCACACTAAACTCTGTTCTCCACCTCACTGAACCATCACCTCTGGAAGCCTCGACTGAGCTGTGCGACAACTTCTTACATTTCTTTTTGGAAAAAATTGCGACCACCCGGGCTCTCATTTCCCCTCCAACTCATGACCCATCCATCCCACCTCAAGCTGTAGCTCTATTTGACCATTTTGAACCCATCACTCTATCTTCTCTAGAGCAGGTCATGTGCAGCTTGAAACCTTCTGGTTCCCCCTTTGATGTGGTCCCCCCTCGACTACTAAAGGAGGTTTTTCCAACTCTAGGTCCGTCCATTCTTGCCATAGTAAACAGTAGTTTATCCACTGGCGTGGTGCCAAAAACCTTTAAACATGCTGCTGTCCAGCCTCTCCTGAAAAAACCAAACCTTGACCCCTCAGTTGTTTCCAACTTCCGGCCTATCTCCAAACTCCCATTTGTTTCTAAAATACTGGAGAAAATAGTTGAGTCCCAGTTGAAGCGTTTCCTGGAAGGTCACGCCATCTTAGAGCTATTCCAATCTGGCTTTAAACCTCTCCACAGCACTGAAACTGCCCTGCTGAAGGTCTTTAATGACATTTTCTTAACCACTGATACCGGTGGTTCTGTGCTGCTTGTCCTGTTGGACCTCACAGCCGCCTTTGACACCATCGACCATGAGATCCTCATTGCTAGGTTGGAACAGTGGGTGGGTATCACAGGGTCAGCCCTCAATTGGTTCAGATCTTACATCGCTGACAGATCCTTTTGTGTCTCAATCAAGGATTTTAGTTCTGCAGAGGCAGAGCTTAAATGGGGGGTTCCGCAGGTGTCCATCCTGGGTCCCCTCCTATTCTCTTTATACCTGCTGCCACTTGGTGCTATTTTCCAGAAACACAACATGCCCTTCCACTTCTGCGCTGATGACTGTCAAATTTACTTCCCCCTAAGACACAATGGCACATGCTCTATTCAACCTCTGCTCGACTGTCTGGCTGACATCAGGGACTGGATGGCTTTAAACTTCTTAAGTTTCAATGAAAAGAAGTCTGAAGTCATGTTGTTCCCTCCCAACGACACAATCACAAATCACTGCATCGACCTTTCCACTCTATCCCTGTAAGAAAAACAAAGAGTCACTAATCTGGGCGTGATAATGGACCCTTCCCTGAAACTTAACAACCATGTA